CGTCAGCGGTGTTTTTGGTGGACAATTTCTTGAAAAAAAGATGCAGTGAATGCTGACAGACGTTCAGCTCAGGCAGCTGCGTTTGCGCAGCAGCCATTTTATTGGCGCGCCAAGGTCCGAGTCGAGAGCAACAGACCGCCGAAGCCTTCGCTGCAAAGCAAAGAGGGGAATTGGTTAATTTCGACTGGGTCCCAGAACTTAACAAGACTTTGAGGCATCGGTATTTTTTGTCCACTGAAACATTATTGTGTATAAAGAGCAGCTTGCATTGAAGTCCCACAGGAATACATGCTGCGGATCGGTTCCCCCGCAAAGGACGGGAAAGCGGTCAAGTAACGGCTGCCTGGAGCCTTGCAACGGAATAAGAGAGAAAAAGCAACGACTTTAAGAGAAGCGAAGTTGGGAGCCGATCTTGGCGCCTTTTTAGGAAATGAGCACCACCAAATCCAGCTTAGCAACCATCAGCAGCCCCAGTTGCCAAGGGCCCCCGTAAGGCTGATTTTGGAAAGGTCGGCAACATTGACGCCATTCTCGACCACTTTGGACTCATGCGCGATGTTGTTTCAGGGACTCCACGCTTGAAAAACCGTCGTCTATCCCATGGCCGAGCGGGCCTTGTCTGACATGCATTGCCAGCCCGCTCCATGTTGCTATCATTGGCCGCCGGGGCACCGGGGCAAGGAGCTTGTTCGCTCTAGTGGAGTTGAAGGATTCAAGACTCTGAATTGTGGCGCAGGGGAGCTGATTTTCCAATCCTAAATACGGCGCTGGCATATCGATCCTCTGTTTTGTGGCTGCCTAGCGCCCGCCATCCCACGGATGCTTCGCTCTCTTATTTGGGTGTCTCGTTCCCTTTTCGAATGAGACCTTTCATCTTTTTGTGTTTCTGGATTGGTACATCAGACGCACATGATCTTTTCATATTGCCGGTATAGTGATCGTAAATTGTCCATGATCATCGGACGGAGACACATTTGAGTCAAAGGACATCTCAACAGCGATTGCGAGATGGATTCATCGCACGGGAGTTCCCCAGTCCCCAACTACAGCCAACCACACGATAGCGATGGCGCATACGTCGAGAATGGCCTGCACCCCGTCGAGCAAACCGACAAGATCGTCAACAATTCCCACTACGTCTCATACGACCAATACAAGCCGGTACCTTTATCAGCGGACCAAGGCTATGTAGCTCCGATCGACGCATCTCGGCCTACGAAGAAGAGGATATGCGGCATCAGCAGTGGTGTTTTCATTCTGCTGTGTCTACTGGCCTTCTTCATTGCGATTCTGGTCGTCGTCGCCGGTGTCTTCGGGAGCATGCTCGCGAAGCAATCCGCCGAGATTCTTGATCTAAAGAGCACATCACCGACAAAGTTTGTTTCTCACAGCTCATCCAGGATATATCATGAGAGAATACACTAACATCACAACACCCAGAACAAGTAATCCCGACGCGAACGGTTCATCCACCGCGACCGCCGCAGCGGCAACAACGACGTGGGTTACGGTTACCGATTGGGATTTCATCGGCTGCTATGAGGACGGCGACGAGCGCGTGTTTTCTGGAAACATAAGCGTCATCCAAAACCAAACGAACAAGCTGTGCGCGTTGGCCTGTGATGGTTTTGACTACTTTGGAACTCAGTACGGGGACCAGTGTTACTGCTCGAAGACGCCACCTAAGACGGTTGCTCCGGCATGGAACTGCAACATGCATTGTGCCGGCGCACCGAACTCGGAAATCTGCGGAGGATACTATTTTCTCAGCGCCTGGAAGAAGAAGAGTTCATGAGGCCCCGAAAGCGCGTTAGGATGGGTGGCCACTTTGGACACGGAGGGATGAAGGCAAGGGGGCATAGTCTGTGCATGAATCAGCATGATTCGCTTCATCAGCATGGCCTGGAGTTCAGGATGTTTCTTTGTTATTAAGAATACCCATTGGATGAATCAGAATTATCAGAGAAGTACAAATATCTCCAAGAGATAATCATAGTTGCTGTCTCACAAGACGCCGTGGGCGATGTCCACAGCGAAGGAAATTGAGCAATGGGGCGAGAGGTGGGTCGAGGATCTTGGTTACAAACAGTGGCGGAATTTCCAACATCCAGCAATGGATTCAAACAACCATGGCCGGTTGGCCCAATGGCAAGGCGTCTGACTACGATTCATCGTGCAATCAGGAGATTCTGGGTTCGACCCCCAGGCTGGTCATATTTTTGATCCTGTTGATTGTTTTTGGTGCGGGAAGAGTTTGTTGCGTGCGGGTCTGACCTACATGGGTCCCGCTGCCAGGGCAGTGGTCCTTAGTCGGTACTCCGGCCCGGGATGGCTGGCTTTTTACATTTTATCAGCGTTATGGTTTCGCAAAAAGAAGCAAGTTTTCGTTGGAAAAAGCGCTGCCATCTTGGTGCAGCCTTTACTAACAGTGCTGCCTAAATATTAAATATCTGGTCCGAGGTTTCTTCAGCAAAGCAGGCGTATTCCGACGAGAGCCATCTCATTGCACTTACATCCCTCCTTCGTAGTTATATGATGCCCTTCGGTCGTTCGTAACACGGTCTACAGATAAACTGTCAACTTTCATAAAGCCTCCTTTCATGATTCCAATCCCACAGTAATGAGCACCCCAAGCATAGATCACACGCCGATTGACATGAGATGAACACGTTCAGGAGAGCCGGCATCATCGGCTCCGAGGACCCACATATTCGGCGTGGTGTAACCCGAAAAAAATTCATCAAAAAGGTACGTACCGAACGACCCCCAAGACAACTCCAGGCAGCCGGATTCCACTTCAGCTCTGTCGCCAACGACTCACTCGGGCGAGGAGCCATGTCCTCCACTCCTCCGCCGGCCCCCTTGGCGTCAACCTATGCGGACCTCACTCTCATTATCACAACATCACCGACGCCATCTGCCCCATCGACAGAACTTCTCGACACCGTCTTTCAGTCTGTTCGCCAACACTGCGCGGACCTCCTGTCTTGTCGCATCATCGTCGTGTTTGATACGTATGACCGCATTGGCCCAGTATCCAGACTGAAGAAGGGCGTGGTGACGGAAGAGGGCGCACACCAGTATGATGTCTACAAGAAGAATGTCAAGACCCTCATTCTTGGAGCCTACGGACACTCGTCGGGTGTAGAGCTGGCGCAGGAGCAAGGGGAGGCGGAGTACGGATTCGACGGGAGAGCAGCTCTGAACCTCACACCATTCACAGTCAACAGTACAAAAGACGATAAGGTTGCGTTCGTCGAACCCGCAGAGAGACTCGGCTTCGGCCTCGCAGTGCGAACAGCCCTCAGGATCACCACAACGCCGTATGTCTGGGTTCACCAACATGACTGGACGCTGGTGGCAGACATCCCGATTGCGCCGATGTTGGACGTCATGAAGGCTACTGATGAGGACGAGGAGGCGCCGGTGAAGTACATCTGCCTTGCCTCAGTGCGGATGCTGGAGTACGCCAACTCAGCCCATGCTCATGACTACCCCGCCCTGAGAGCATTGACGAAGAAGCTCAAGCGGGACTTCACCCACCCGTCACATCCAGATTCCACCGTGCCGCTGACACCAATGTTCTTTTGGCATGATAAGCCACATATCGCATCCACCAAGCATTATCTCTCCCGGGTATTTCCAACAAGGCTGGCGATCCCGAAGGGTGCATTCATCGAAGATGTTATCGGGCAACGTGCAAGAACACAGATGAAAGAGCAGAGCATGTGGGCCAAATGGGCTTGCTGGCTGTACTACCCCGATGAAGGGAAACAACTGTGTTTGAAACACTTGGATGGAAGGAGATGGAGAGGTGTGGAGGCCGAGAAGGTTCAGGGGGCGAGGTGGAGAGAAATTAGAGGTGTGAAAGAAGACAAACAAGAATGATTGTCAACAATGAGTTTCCATGATACCCAGTGAGCTCCTGGATTGGGTTGTCCCGGCTAAATTCTGGCCTGCTGGATCCCTGCAGCCTCACTAGCGTTCTAACGGCTGGAGGTTGTCTCCCACGTCTCTAGCGAGGAGCTGCGGTCCTGCAACAGCTCGACACGTATCTAGTCCAAATGGACTCTGAAGCTCAGAAAGAAGCTGGTATCGGCATCTCAGTTCTCTTCAATCTATCAATCGAGGCAGACTTGGGACAACCGCGGGAAAGCGGGCAATCCTGCCATCAGATTTGAGGTACAGATAGGCTTTTTGGAGGACCTTGGGGTCAGTGGCGGGCTTCTGCTTGATCTAGCCATGATTTTGACTACAAAAGGCCCCTCAAGAGCGGGCGTTCCAAGACATTTAGGCGGCCAGAACATGTTGAAACAACCACCCAGCTGGGCGTCTATCTGGCCGGGCGCGATGAAAGGCCACTTATCGGCTCAGAAATCACGAGTTTCCGTAATGAGACTCTGAATTGACGTCAAACTTACCTATTCACGCACAGAGAAGCGGGGGAGCCAGTATCCTAGTGCAATCCTACTTAATCATGGTGGCAACCTCGACAGTCACAACGCTTATGTCAGGTTCTACGATTTCTGACTACGAGTCTTGGATAGGCCTGGATAGGTCACAACCCACCAAGACCTTCTTAATCGGGTATGGCTTCGCGTTGCTGCGGCTGAGATATTGACAAAAGTACCCAATCCTTCAGCCGTCTCATAGAATCGTATACCAATCAAGGCTGACTTGCAGTGCTTCAAGTCTTGGATTATCCAATGAAGACTGTTGCTGAAATCTCGGAAAATATAAGACCATACTTCTGGTGCATCGTATATCTTGAAAAGGAAGCTCGTGGTGTCTCCCCAGACGGCCAAGCAACGGCCATGTCTTTGCTTGGTGCCAAATTCCATCAATGGACATTAATTACTTTGCCAATGAGGGATAATGGGGCCTGTCAGAAATAGACATAAATAATGGCTCGCTCTTGTTACCATTTCTCCAAATAATCACAACATCACTTACCTCACAAATTATCTCCAAACAATTGAGATCACCTCGCAGACGGCATCATGAAGTTTTCCGTCCTCACGCTCGTGGCAACTCTCGCCTTCGCCACCGCTGCTCCCAGCGAACTTGTTGCTAGACAATGCTCTTGCCACAAGGTAGGCAACGAGTGGATCTGCAGCGGACGACTCTGTCCTAAAGACTTCGTCCCCGAGCCCGCCATGGTCAAGAGAGATAGCGAGCTCGTAGCTCGGCAGTGTTCCTGCAAGAAGGTTGGCAATGAATGGATTTGCAGTGGGCGACTTTGCCCATGAGGCATTACACAATGTGAGTTTGGCCACCCTGCAAAAGCAAAGAAATTTGCCAGTCTATTCCTCTAGTACCATTGCTGACCCTTAAGTTGGAAGACATTATCAACGGGATTTTCATGGCAGATGAGAATGGTAGAAAGCTTTCAACTAGGAACCCAGAATTAGGCTTCAATGGAATGGCAGCACTTGATACTATACTTTCTAAAGCATCTGGCGTGAGACATGACGTAATTTCGACTATCGAAGTTCATAATCACATGATAATATGAGGCAGACAGTCTTAAAATTAGGTATGATAATACTAAGGCACAAGCGCATACGCTCGTTGTGGCATGAAGTACATTCATATCTAGGGCTACAAATTCGTCAGCCAAAGTCTATCTATGGAATTCTTTCAAGTCTTTTGATTCTTTTTCTTACAGCCGAAACAATTGTAAATGAGAGAACCTGTGAGTTAGGTTTGCTCTCCTTGAAGCAATGCTGAAGGTAACATCACACAAAGAAGGCTATGTTGCTAAGCTTTCTGCAGGACTTTTTGCAACCTCCCACAACGGCCTTCCAACTATTGCTTGGGGTTCAGGCAAAGATGCTGTAACGGAACCGTGTAATGTCTCTAGAATTGTGGATTACAGGCGGACTTGTGACCTCATACAGGACTCCGCTCGGAAAATTACGATGGGCGCTTAGAACAGCCAGATAAGTATCTGGAACCCAACGATACAATAATTCTTGACCTTATCAGAAGCAGTCATCTTGTTCAATAATTGGACGAGGAATTGTTTTGTCTCAGATAAGGCTTGCATCACACAATGAATGACACAATCACACCAACACGTGAACCCTGCATCGGCGAAAAACCGTCCATGCTGCGCGGGTTCGTCCGACCGGCCAAAACGGACGTCACAACCACCGGTCACCGACGCCAGTACCCCACGGTTCTGCCATGGCAAGGATGCCGGAATCCACAATCTGGACCTGTAGTGGTGGATCTGGGTTATGTGAGTTGGAAGCGATTGCCGAATCGGCACTTGGGCGGACTCGCGTGGCGGGGCGCCCCAAGTCTATGACGGCGTTCTCGTTTCACCGCACCGGTGTTTTGGCGGTCGGTCCAGCTAGTCGGCGCGGACAATTGGCAACTCTAAGTTGTCCGAAGGTTCGCAGTTGTCCGGAGCTTGGCCACGGAGATACGACACGGTCAGCGTCCTGAAAATGAGATGTGTGGTAATAAACCTTTAAAAAAACTGATGAGAATCTCGCTGTTGATGAAGGTGTAGGAAATGACTGCTTAGGTTTGCACTAGTATTGACCGACAGATAACGCACGAAAAGCTTCAACATGGCATCGAACACAAATTCTTCCAGAAGAACCCTGGCCATTTTTGGCGCAACCGGCCGCACGGGCAGCGAATCCCTGAAGGCCCTCCTCGCGAACCCCTCCAACTCGTTCGACCTCAAAGTCTATGTGCGCTCCAAGGATAAGCTGGTTTCCATGTTTCCTTCCTTCAAGACGGACCACAGCGTAGAAATAGTCGAAGGCCAAGTCACCGACGTCTCTCACGTGAGGGGATTTCTAGACGGCGCCGACACAATCATTTGCGCCCTCGGCGAGAACGAAAACAGGCCTGGCATCCGCGTGCTCACCGATGCGTCGCGCACTATCGTCACCGCCCTCAAACAGCTGAAAGACGGGTCTGGCTCGTCGACATGGAAGAAGCCGCGTGTGTTGCTGTTATCCTCAGCGACGTGGAACGAGCGCTTCGAGGCGCAACAGCCGGCGTTGATCAGCTGGCTCGTCAAGAACGCGTTCTACTACCCTTACCAGGATCTTCTCAACGCGCACAGGACGTTCAAAGAGGCAGAGAAGGAAGACGCACTGTCGTTGTTGTTGGTACAACCGCCAGCTATCATCGAAGAGGACGGAAGTGGGCATCATATCGGCGTCGAGTCGATTGGCATGGCCGTCTCGTATGCCGACCTTGGCGCGGGCTTCGCGGAGCTGGCCACCGAAGACCGCTACCGAGAACTAAAGGCAATTGGGGTATGGTCGGAAATGTCAAAAGAGGGATTTCGCAGGTACGGGCCAGAGGTCTTGTCACGTATGGTGGTAGGATTACTTGCGAGCTTTTTGCCTGGATTCTTGTTCATCAAAGCGCTGTTCAATAAGGTGTTTGGCTAGGGAAATATACGGGTTAGTGAGTGTAAATCAGCCTGTCGCTGACTTTTGTTTCCATTTTTGATGCTATTGTTATGTACATATAATCTAGTCTATAAGGCAGGAAACGACCATTTTTGTGATTGGATACACCTAGGTACGTCTAGACACGTTGCACAGCCAGAGCTCCCTTGAAGATTGAGTGAACAAGACTCGGCTTCGGTCCGGTGCGCCGCGATGTACTAAGGGAGAGGGCATCGTTGTTGCGCAGAGCGTCAGCTCGCTCATGCTCGGGTAGATCTAGGCTTTCGAGTTCACGGATCTTCCACACGCGGAGAGACCAGACTTTGCTAGAGTTAGCAATGAAAGTACACGCAAGCTCAGAGTGGGCTATAACTTACGTGAGATAAAGGCGGCAATGTACATGAAACCAACAAAGATCTCGACCCCGAGGTAAGCGTCGATACCCGAGCCCTTGATGGTAAGAGCGATAGGCTCTGCAAAAGTGGCTGGGAGGACAAGGATCATCCAAAAGATGGACAGTGCTGAGCACCAAAATGTCAGTTTTGCTAACCGGAGAAGATGTCACGCGTTGACTGCTTACCGGAAGGCAGGAGCTGTATTCCCACCACTTCGGCGCCGACAGGGGTGACCGTCGCCCAGATGCATCCAGCGAAGGCACCGAAGAGTGCGTAGACGATCGTGCCTGCAAAATACCTCCCGGCGAAGATCCAGACGAACAGAGTCGCTAGCCCGGCGACAAGGGTGCCCAAGCCAGCAACGTTGATGCGCCCGACGCGATCGCTAATGAGGCCGATGATGGGTCGACCAATGCCTTGCGACACTGCTTTCCGTTAGTACCATTGCCGGGATGTTGTACTTATACTTGACTTACGTTGGAACATGGCCGAGGCGATCGATCCTTGGCTCGCAGTAAACCCAACCGTCTCAGCGAAGTCGGCCAAAGAGAAGACGACAATGACGTATGCGAAGAGAGAGAAGAAACCCCACGACATGAAGAGCCAGAACTCAGTCCTCCTGAACAGGTCTTTGTGGAATGCAGCATGGACACTTCCGAGGGCCTTGTTACGGTCCCGCATCAGAACGCAGCAGATGCCATTGACGACGAAGGACAGAATGGCGAGGATGCGAAACGCCCACGGCAGACCAATATTGTGGATCATGGCAGTCGACGACAGGGAGTAAATCAACCCGCCGAGGCCCGAGCCGGCACTACCGATAGCGGACGCGAATGACCGGCGAACGATGAACCATTGTGGGATGACGCCGACGGTCGCATTGAAGGTGAATCCCATACCGACGCCGAAGCCGATACCTTGCGACAACAGCAGATGCCATATTTGCGTCGTGAAGGATGCGCCGATGAGGGCGGCGCTGAGGTCTAGTTAGAGTTGATGACGGAAGGTGAGGGTACAGAGCACCTACGATTGAACCGTCACACCGATCGCGACCGTCGGTCTCGTTCCGATTCGTGGGATGAACCAGGTCACAATGGGGGCGACAAGAAGGGCTGTGGGCCGGATGTCAGTAAGCGGCTCGGCGCGGACGCGGGGTCGGTGTGAGATTCGACTCACCGACGGAGAAGGACAGGCCGCCGACGAAGGCCAGAGTGATCGGGCTGGCGCCGGGAAAGGCCCCGGAATTGAGATAGTAGGCGAGGAAGACCGCATATGACTGTGGCTCGTCAGCTATATGAGATTCGAGTCATCGGGCGGGAGGTCACACTCACTGAGTTCAGACCCCAAGTGTGTGCATTGATGAGAAAGACGCAGGCGACTACGACCCTATTTTCATGTCAGCGTCATTCATTGAAGGGCACTAAGGTGTTGAGACTTACCATCCGTAGCCGCCTTCTTTGAATTCTACCTCTTCGCTTGTGCGCGGGCTGCTGGTCTGGCTCGGCGAAGTGTCATTTCGCTTCTCACTCTCCGCTGCCCTGGAAACGCTGTCAGGCATCTGCACCACGCCGCCGTGGTCGTTGTCCTGATTATTTGGGGGTTCAGATCGAGAAGGCATACCGGGCAGCGACAAACAACCAGACCGCTCGTTGTCAAAACGCTCTCTTCTCTCTGGCAGAGGAAATGCAACGGGCAAGTTGTGGGAGGCGGACAACAGGACCGCGTTGATTGACTCAGGACGTCAGGGTGTTGGTGACAAAGCAAAATAGACTGAGAATTCGGCACGAGGTCGGACTCGGCAAGCCGTATACAGTAGTTGGGTAACCGTATACAGTAGGCATTCGCGGGGGATCAATTTTGACGAAGCGAGTTTTCGACGCCAGTTCCCGACCCGAGGCGCGTTTTGGATTTTTTGTTTGCGCCGGGAATAGTGTGGAGACAACTCGGCGCGGTGTCTAGAGAAAGAGGCGAGATTGACAGTGATGGGGGCGCAACTATGGGCTAGACCGGATACAGATGCCGCGGATCGATGTGTAATGGATTCTTCTCATTGGCGTTGTCGAGTTTCCCCTTCATGCTGGGCAACCTGGACGGCTCCGGTGGTCTGGACCGGAGGGTTTCTGCTTTTATCCGTCAAGCACCCCTGAACAAACACGCGGAACACGCCCTGCGGATGTCATTGACGAGCCCTCTTCGTTATATGGTCTCATTCACCCAGCATCTGCGGGACATCATATGCCACCATTCTACGGACTGTTTGCGCGACACCAAGCGGCTCTAAGCTGTTAACTTCGGAGACCAACGCCGAACAGACGCGAGTTTGCGACTGTGACGGTAATTTCCACGTTTTCCGGCCGGTTTCGGCGGCTATGGACCGGAGGCGGCCCGGTTCCTGGTCCGTGCTGTCATAGACTCTGAAGAAACTCGGGGTCTTTTCCGCTTCGGCGATAAGATATACTTCGGACATAGCGTGGTCACTTTATGTTGAGTCGATTCCTCTACTTTTGCGGTAGGAGAGACTGAATGAGTAATGAGCAAGGAGTGAGAGTTTCTCAAGACTTGGTATTTTCTATCTTTTGAAAGTTCGGAAGAGAAAGCCAGCAAGTACAGGATAGGTTGAGTCTTCGAGAGGCCTGTCTTGTTCGTCAATGCAAGCCTGCGTGTGTTCCAATGAGCGTCTGTAAGCATGTTCCTACATCAATGGAGTCTGGTTCCAAGCAATGCAACTCCCGAATAAAACACAATGACATTGAATCAAAGGCTTTCTTCATCAATGTAAATATTCGAGGACAACACTGTCGAGCCTGGCCACGCTGGCAACCCTCCCGTAGAGAAACTCAAAAGTGACTTGGACGTGGTTAACCTGAGGGGTGTAGTCCACGGTGACTTCCTTCCAAACCCCCCATCCAGGGGCGTCCCGTGCATCAATTGTCCTCTTGGGCTGTCCATCGATCATGACCCCGATAAAGCCAGCGTTCATATTGTCGAACCAGACCCAGAAGCTCAGGCTGCAAGGGACGTTTCTCTGCACGGAAACCCGGGGGCTTTTGATCCTGGTACTGGTTACGGGTTCCTGTAGAGGCCTGTCTGCCAGTAGCTTCGACTCAAATGAAGTTGTTCCAGAGTGGGCCGACGCTGAGGTGAGACCAGCCTTGATATTTGGGTCAAGAACCTCGATCGTCCACGGGGCAATGCCGCACTCAAAGTCGCCGTTGGTCAACAGACCGCCGTAGGCCGTACAGGGAGTCGACGTCGGCGTCATAACGGGGCATGTGGGGCCGCATGCACAGGCAGAAATGTAACGAGCGGGAGCCGTGCCGCAAGCTGATGTTGCGCGAGTCGGGAAGTTGGTGGCAGTGATTCCGTTGGCTGTTATTGTGGCACAGAATGCTGAGGCAGAAGATACCGCTGTTGGAGATGGACAAGGGAACAAAGCTCGATAGCAACTTCAAACAAGGAAGCTTATCAGTCATCAATCGAATAATCGAGCATTTCACTTACTTGTCAGCATTGCACTTGGCCAATGTGGTCGCAGCTTTGCACCCTAAAGTAAGGACGCTCAAAGCGATGGGCACAGATCGTGATAGGTACATGACAGCTCCAAAAAGGTTGATACTTGATTGGTTTGGTGAAGACAAAGAAGACCTATGGATGAGCGTTTGGAAAATATGGAGATGAACATCATCATTTATATACTTCGATGCCTTTGCGGCGATTCATCTTTGCCTTGCGCATGTTGGTTCCACTTGTCTGGTATTTCTTACCGATGCAACATCAGAAGTAAGATGGCGAATGATCTCTCCGAACACGAGCTCAGCTGTCGGTAAGGGGCCTGTCTCAGTCGGGTGGCTGCATCTCAGCTGTTGCTACCTGGCGAATGAGAATTCAAGACTTCCGCAGTAGTTTGAAGCCACTCTGTGGCGCGCGATCCGGGGTGTGTAGGGGTGAGCGAGGTGGCCTGGGGGATGGAGGCACTCGTCGCCTGGCTCTTCCTTGTATGCAGCAGAAAGAAAAGAACTGCCCTAACTAGAGACATATACGCAGGTGGCCATCGGGGTGTTCATATCTTTCCCGAAAGAATTCTCACCGAGTGTAGCAAGCGCGACAGAATGTTCCCACGGAAGTTGCATGAAACTCCGCGGAACACTGAACTTGGCAGGGACTCTGAGTTGTACTTGCACATAAGTCTTCCGAGTTCCTTCCAGATGTGTTACTTGGATCATCTCCGCTCGCCGGAAGGCGTGTTCGAAGCATCCATGATGCAAAGCATTTGATCCAGTTTTGCCACTTACGGGCCACCCGTACACACTGGTCAGCCAAGCTTTGTATGAAGTCAAAACTAAGCTCCACCTTTTGGTACCAACATCGAACCCAGTCTGTACAAATGTCATAAAAAGTACAAAAGCCACGACCCGTCTCATTTTCCCCGAAAGCGAACGTCCCCTCAGATGCTTGATCTTATCAAGGATCAGATTGCCAGCAGCCACTGGATCGATTCTCTTCACTGGGGACGCATACTGTGTTGGAGATTTCTCGCAATATCATCATTTATGAGGAGCATTTCTGTAGCCAAGCGGAAGGAATGAAGCGCTCCGGTGTTACTGGAAAGGAGAGGAAGTCGTGAGTTATCTGGCTCCTTCTGTCGTGATGTTCCGAGGGATCCTGGGTGGTTCCACTCCCCAGACACGAACGCAGAAGGACCGAGATTGGCACCTTCCCTTGGCTGCACAGAGTGCTTTCAATGAGATGCCATCGAATCTTGTGAGCTTCCAGCAACCCTTCCAGAAAACGGTGATGAAGAATAGGTTTTGAGAGCGGCATCCCTGGAGGGTTTACGTTAGACTCCAGACTATGGTTCTAAGGTTTTGAGGATTGCTTGGACTGTCGACCGACCTTCGGGGTTCAAAGAAATTTCCAACGGCATGAGCTTCAAGGTAAGCCTTTCCATGGCTGCAGACCCTTTGAAGCCATCTCCGCGTGAGTTGCGCGGAGACATCATTGACCTAGATACAACTATGAGACGCAGACGCATGGCGACGGGAGTCCTTTGGAAATGTTGATGCAGAAGCGCCTTATCGTCAGTATAGGAATCTCACTCTTGTTACCAAGCGCTACTGTGCCTTACTGCGGCAGGGGACCACACCGCTTCTCACTTACTCGGGTTCCAGCACACCATGCGCTTCCATCACACCGCATACATATCCAACAAATAATAACTTGAGTTCCATCTATCGTCAACAAGCAAGTGGACCAAGCATGCATCGATTGCTAGACGCAGTTCGAGGTCGGAAGCAGCCGCGCAGCGACCAGGAAATCGACTATTCGGAGCTGCCACCACCACCTCTCCCTCTTCTTCCTGCTCAGCGGCCTAGGCCCATCACGCCTCCCGCGACGACCGCCACCGCCGCTACTGCTGACACCCTCATCGCCGCGCTCGGCACCTTCGCCCTCCTGTCGCCAGACCTGCGCCGGCGCGTGCTCGTGGCCGCCTTCGGCGAGCGCACACTCCACCTGGACTTGCGGCCGGCCCCGCGCGGGCAACAGCCGAGCCCCCCGACGGCCCACGGGGTCGCGCAGGAGCACGGCCGCGGGACGGCGCCCCTCAGCTGGTCCCGCATTGTCGCAGTACCGACCGTCACGGGCGAGACGCCGGCGACGACCGCCTCATCGTTGTCTGAGGGCTACAAGACCAGAAAGAAGACAGGGCCGGAGTGGGAGTGGGAGTGGCGCTGGTACGGCTGTGTGTGTCACCGTGTGATCCCCCACGGGTCGCCCGTGGACCGCCTCATCAGAGCCCGCGGCCGTGACCCATATGCCTGGCCGCACCGCGATGGTTGCCTCGAGGGAAACGCCATGTTGTGCGAGCTGTGGCCGCGAGGGCCCGCCGTGGACGGCATGGCGTCCCCAGAAAGGGGCACCTGCGACTGCGCGGTTGGCGCCCTGGGCTGGCTGCGCGCATGCAGGCAGGCCTACATAGAGGGCATCGAGGTGCTCTACGCAACCAACACGTTCTTCATCCAGAGCCGGGACCTGCTGGAAGCGCTGCTCTGCCCCCCGGACGACGGCCGGCGCCTGTTTCTCCCGCATCGCCTGGCCCAGATACGGTCGCTTGAGCTGCGGTGCGAGTTCCTGCTCTTTGGTGGTTTCACACTGCCGTTCATTGCGCGCGCCAGCGACAAAGAAAGAATGCGGTTGCTCCCGGACCTGGCCGGCCTGGCGATCCCTTTCCCGAACCTGCGCTCCCTCATCGTCACCTTCCCGAACATCCTCGACAACATACGGCACGCGGATCCGGACACTCGCCTGCCCGAGATCGACCGTTTGCTGCTACGGCCGCTTGCCCTCGCGTTTGCGCACCTCGCGCCGCAGCAGGAAAAGCACATCGTGGTGGAGCTGCCGTCGAACGTGTTTCGCGACATCAGAGGCATCGGCCTGAGGAAAGGTCTCGGCCTCGAACAGGAGCAGCGAGGAGAGGAGTGGGGTGATGGCAGGGGCCTTTGGCTGCGGTATGACATCGATGGCTCGCTTTACTACTACATCAAAGAAGGGCAGGAGAGTGAAATCTATCGGCCGTGAGTTCGGGGCTTGGAAGTAGACCCTGCAGCGTGGGCGTCGGCACGGCGAAATCGGGCATCCGTCGACGTGGGCTTAGTTGTTCAAGTAAAATAGGGCGCGGTCTCAATACATCTCTTGATCACAGCTATCAGAGCGGTTGTTTCTACCTAATTTAGTCCTGAGGATCATGCCATAAATACGAAAATCCAGCGATTCGTCAATTAACAATACTGAATACGATTACGCTGTTATTTGGCACTTGTCAGCTTCTGTGGTGCTCGTCGTGTGATGCCTCTCTGGTGCAACTGTAACCTATGTCCAGGATATTTCCTCCCGACGCCCGGTGCACGCTGCCTTCCGCTTCTTCCTCAACGCCATCCTCGTATTACTTTCCGCGTAAAGATGTTGCACCTGGCAATCCAACCCCATATTTGATTCTGGGGATGCGGGGTCTTTCTTCCCTTCTAACTTTTCTTCTTCGCAGTTTGCCGCCTGGAGGCGCACCTTGTTGACTGCCATATGACTCTAACGGGGAAATATATGGAGGGTCACAGCGTAACCTCTATGGCTAACCCATAGGGTATATGAAGGGGATTTTTAAGCCGCCTAGCTAAGCTAGCAGAAGTAGCCCCCTATCATACTATAGCCCAAATTTAAAGCCCTCTAAGATAAATCTCATATATACCTCCTACCTAATCGATATAGCCTTTACTACTAGCGATATTAAACGTCTAAAAAAGACTAGTTTACTATATATTTAATAATAGCTTAGTCATATCCTTATAGCTAAGAATAACGATATAGTATCTCTATACCTCCTCACGATATATATCAGGTTCTTAGAAGACCCTTAGAACTAAGCTCTCTATTAAGTTAAGTAGAGATTTAAAAAGATCGCTAAGAACCTAAAGGATGAGAATAATATGAGGGAGATCAATAGGATATTTAATAAGAAGTATAGCGAATAGCTCTAAGAGCTAATCGTTATTATTACCCTTATCTAAGGATATAGTGGTCAAGGAGACTAGCCTAGGTTAGGGTGGAGGAAAAAAAGGGTCCTCATATTCCCTTTAGTCATACAAGTATTCACAAAAGAATTATTCACAAAATGGGGGATGCGGGGTATGACCCCTGCCCGCATCAGAGGTCCAGTCTGATTGCGTTAGACCAATGGTTAGATGAGGGACATCGGGATTTCCTAAACCAAGTCTTCGATAACCGTCAAATTCATCGACAGGTGCTTTGAATTACCCTTTATGTCTCCCTTCTTTGTTCAGTCATTTTAAGCGCTTGTTGTACGAGCTGTCAGGATGCGACATATATATTTCTCGTATCACAACGTTAGTTTTTCAAGCCAGCGGCCAGAATTCGTTGCTAACATAGACAACATGAAGATGGCTCGTTCTCAGCTCTTTTACCTCGCACTCATTCCACTCCTCTCTGGATATGCTCAACCTCAAGAGATTACCGGCAATGACTTGACAAAGCTGCCTCAGTTTCCTCATAAGCCCAAGACGTTCATTCTGACGGATATCCTCAATGAGCCCGACGACCAAATGTCGGTGGTACGCTATCTGACGTACTCAAATGAGTTCGATACCAAGGGCCTTGTTGCTACGACCTCCATCAGCATGCCAAACGAAACGCACCCAGAGGCTATCGAGCTTATTATTAGAGCCTACGGTGAAGTTGTCCACAATGTAAACAAACATGTGCACCCCAACGCAACGTTCAGTCCTGCCGAGGACCTTTTGAGACTCGTGAGCTCAGGCCCAGTGGTAAGCGGCTTGCCTCCTTCCTGATGGCTATAAATGGCTTCTAATCGAGTTGTTTCTCCCAGGTTTACGGGCGACAGGCTCTCAACGAGTCGCTAAGCGACGGTGCCAAATTGCTGGTTGAAACGCTCGAGGCGGGCTCAGACCCGTTGTTCGTCTCCATTTGGGGCGGAGCCAACACCCTGGCGCAGGCGCTGCAGTTCATCAGCACAGAGAGAACTCCCAAAGAAGCAGCTGAGCTTCGGTCTAGACTCCGCGTCTACTCGATCTCGGATCAGGACGATGCTGGGCCGTGGATCAGGGTCAAATGGCCAGACGTCCGGACTGGGGGAGCTGGGGTGGTCGGTACAACCGAGTCACGGAGGCCGAAGACATCAACGAATACGGAACATCCATGGATACGGCCGTTTCCGTGACAGGCGTGGATCACCAAAGCCACTATGCCACTGTTTGGCGATGGCGCGACGCCTATCAAGACGACTTTGCGGCACGCATGCAGTGGAACGTTACGGACAAATTCGAAGACGCAACTCACCCACCTAATATCAAAGTCAATGGGTCCAGTAGTCTCGATGCCAGGGAGATCTTTGTCCCGTACAAAGGTTCTGTTGTGCTGGATGCCAGCGAGACCTACGATCCTGATCACCCAGAAGACTCGACTCACCTCGAGTTCGAATGGTATGCTTACAACACAGCTTCTATTGCTTGGGCTAGTGCATATCTTGAGGGACTCATTGAGATACGTCCGCTTTCACCGCCAACCGGTACAGATGGGTATCTTGAGGTCAATAATGCAGGATTCAGGAACGTCACGATTGGTCCGAGTGTCCAGATCGTGAACAATGTGCCGCGCATCTCGCAACTCGGGGGAAGATCCTGGCATGTTGTACTCCAGGTGAACAACAACAAGGGTCAGCATCCCATCCGGAGGTACAAGCGAATCTTAATTCAGGATTTCGAGGGGCAATAATGATTAGAGAGAACAGAACTCTCCCTATCGTGGTCTGTAGTCTAATAATTCGCCTTCGACTCTAGGACTTTAGGAGTCATAGAGGAAGCATATAGCTGCTGTCGTATCTTTCAGATAGCAATATCATCGGGAATCGTGATCCGAGGGCAAGGTTTCCGCTTTACCGCCCTAACCTGAGAGTGTTGAAAGACCGGTACATTCGTTCCTCCTGCAGGGGAGTGAACTCGGAGAGACTAACAAAACGTCAGCAAGCCCCATCGTGGTGGACAAAAAAAAAAAATATAAACCTACCAGTCATGCTTCGAGTAGTCCATGTAATTGTGAATGGGGTCGAGTCCAGGTTGATCCGGGCAGGAATCCTGCTCAACAGGGCACCCAACGGTCGCAACCTGAGTCGCCGGGGTGTCGTCAATGTAGTCACCCTCGCCATTGCAGTCGAAACCATCAAAAACATGGAAGAGCCCAAACCAGTGCCCCACCTCGTGAGTTGCCGTCTTTCCCTTGTTGTCTTCCGGATCCCAAGGCACGCCTGGGCCCCCAGGCATTGTGCCGACACTCACGTGGCAGCCATCGTAAGTGTACCACGAAGTCCCGTTGATTCCAGTGTTCCAAGGATCTTCCACCGGAAAGCTGCAAATTCCTGTCGCGGAACCGGTATTTGTCATCATACCCGTCTCGAAGTAGATGTTGAGTTCATCGTACCCGCCTTGGCGAAGAGCTTCGGCCTTCTCCTTGATGCGGGCTTGACGGGTCTAGGCGTCATTGACGGTGTGCGACGTGCTCCTGACAACGAATTGGATATTGTGCGGAGCAAACGTCTGGTTGAGAACCCTCATCTTAAGAACTCGTTAGTGGTGGGAAATTCTCTTGGTCGCGAAGGGTAGGATCATGCCTGGTCGTTGATCATCTTGTCTGTGACGAACCCCGCGTGCGCCTCGTCCTCAACCACGTGAAGATAAGTCGGGATCAGCAAGCCCTCGGCCCTCTTACCGAGGAAGCTGCTAGAAAAGCCCTCTACTCGATGTGCTGAACGGAGAGAAGATGCAGCTTGGACTGCTTCTTGCTCTGGAAAATTAGACCCGCATTTGTCTTGGGCCGTCACATAAGCGATGGTCGCCAACGCAATCGAGTCGGCGAACAGTGTCTTTAGCTTCATGATGTCTGCCGTGAGGAGTTATTGACTCTCAGAAGTTCGGGATGTGCCAAAACTCGATTCATTGAGGCAAGGTGCTAGGCTCCGTTACTTATGCATGGCATTAACATGCAGCGATGATGATCTAAACAGGAAGGTGTCTGTCGCGATGGGTTCGTCACGCCAAGAGAAGCTCGTATTGCCAGATTGCGGCCTTGCCGCAAAAGGAATGTGTTTCCCCTGCCGAGAACCTGAGCCGACCGTAAAATGTCAACATGACAAAGGTTTTCCCCGGCATCGGCAGCTCTTCCTCTTCTGTATTTCTATATTTATTTTTGACGTTCAGGTTTGAACTTTGTATTTGCCAGCTCCTGTGGTTCGCTGGTCGCGGCGGAATTCTACAAGGGTCCACCCGGCGCGGTGGCCCCCCTGCAGATGTTTAAATCAACCGCGCCCAAGGACAGACACTACAAGGCCAATTCTCAACGCGGTTTTGAAGACATGTGTTAAGAAGTCATACGGAACCAAATTCTCTGACATGGACACGTTGTCAAAGGGGATGTGACAAGACTTCTTCCATGGTGGCCTCGAGGATTTGTTCATGGGCCATTTGGGGCCTGTTTGGGTTCTTGTTGGGGAAAATCAGCACCAGGAATCTTCCAAAAAGAATTGGGGACGAAGGGAAGGGAAGCGCGTCATAACAACTCTACTACGGTGGATTCCTGTACAAGGTGGTGTCAGGATGAAGCGAACTTATCGAATAACTTCTCTCAAGCTTGTCAGTGGAAGCTAGGCTCAGAACAAGTCCAGAAGCCTGTCGTATAAATCGGGCAGAACTGAGGCTTATTGGTAACATACACTAGCTACTGAGGTTGCCCAGTCATAGGGCCGATAGAAGCCAGTAGTTGTGGAAATCAGCCACGGCTCATTGGAAAATATGTGCTTGGCTATGAAAAGCTTGGCTTGATAACAGCCATAATCAACCCGGCCTTGGTGTCACAGGTTCCAGGCCCCAGTTCTTGTTTTCATGTCATATCTTTCTTCTAAAGCAATCATTCCCCAATATTGCTGACCCAAGAACGTCCAAAAGCACAAGCTAATGAAGTGAACTTTAAAATGGTTCAGAATCTTGCGCAGGCAATATACAGTATGAAGGGCGACGGCAGTGCGAAGGTATGCCATCTGATCTTGCCTCCAGCTGTTGCAAGTACTTGCTGCGCAATAGAAGGAAAGCAACGCCCGCAATCCACCTTCTTGGAAATGCTTCGGAAGTCACTACCCCTTCACCTGAACGCGCATCACAGTCAGAACATCGGTTGGAAGTCACCTCTATGGTATGACAGGCCCCGCCCTTTGGACCGCCATCTCCCCTGACCCTCCCACCGCGCCACCCAAACTAAACAACATCAACTACCGCACCAAAGCCAGAATATCACACTACACAAACAATCCGCTTTCACATCATTACTCAAACCAGAGTCATTCGCGATACATCAATTGTCTTTGTTCGATTACCATATTTAGCGATGGCTGGACCAAAGCACCTTGAGCCTTCCACTTTCGACAACGGGGGATTTGAACCAGACGACGCAACAGCGTGGTATGAAAACCGCGACAGAATAGATGAAAACCTCCGCCTGCCTGGATTTACCTTCCCCGAGGACGACCTAGACACCGAAACTTGGCCCTGATGGAGACCTCTTTAGGCGAATCCCTGCCATGCCGATAAGCGCTATGGAACACATCATCTCAAGGAAGCCAGTCGCGTGATGGTAGCAGAACGGCTCGGCGACGTATACGAAGCTGCACTGGCAGAGCTCCGTGTGAAGGGCTCTCTCGGCCGTGTCAGCGGCGTGGTTGTTCGGGCTGACGTGTTGACACCAGATCTTTTCAAAGCGATCCGTAACCACCTTGTCGCCAAAGACATGGCGTGGGCTACTCTCCGAGAGAACACGCACGAAAGCAACGTTACCTACGGCATTGACAAGTACGATGAGGCCCGGAAGGCGTATCTCGCCTGTCCCACGCAGATCGGGAGCCTGGGTGATGACGGCCCTACCTTCACTCGGCTCTGGTACCTCGTCGACTGGTGGCTTGAACTGACGACCGACGGAAACCCGGTCCTCGATCTCGACAACGGCACTTTGATTCAAGTTGCTGATCTCGACGCAGCGCCTGTGACGACGCCAGTATCGACGTTTGCCGACGGTGCTGGTTTCCAAGATCAGCAAAACATCAACGTCGTCAACGACTCCGCCGTCTATGACTTGAATTCACTCTACGAGTCGCGCAAAGCCGATACTTGGGACACCTTTGCGCGAGAAAATTCCCTTGCTGATCTTGACCCAAATCCCGTCCCAACGACAGTCTCGACGCTCTCCAGCGGTGCTGGTGCTCGAGATCAGCCGAGCATCAAAGTCACCAACGACTCAAACGTTTTTGATTTCGCCTCGATTTACGAATCGCTCCATGCTGACGCCTGGGACACAGTCGCACGAGAGAATTCCGAGATTGTTCAGCGTATCAGGCAGCTCGAAAATGAGATCGACGCCCTGCATCCACAACTGAAATGTCTTCGAGCAAAGCTTGTGTCGATCCGCGAAGCACGCATGAGAGGATGGACCCAGGTGCTTCAACGGTACAATGAGCAGCAGCATCAAGAGGGAAAGGCCGTTTTTGGACCTCAAGCAATGGCCAAATTCTTGCGATACGTCGAGCAGCACGAGGAGGAAGAGAATATGTGAACACCGTCCTGAGAACTGCAAAGACATTTATGGATGGGTATTGGAACGGAGCGGGGCAAGAGAAGAGCAAGGCTCGGTGACTGGATCAGCGAAACATTGTTAAAACACATCACCATCAAGAGTAAAACTTCAGGATAGCCATGCTAACAATATAATCGACTTGAAAGCGGCCCCTCACATACCATTGGTCAGCGGATGAACAAAGTCATTTAGGCTTTGCATCCGTCGCAAAGGTTCACGCCAGAGCTTTCCGAGCTGCGTAGACGAAATCGCAGATCACTGATTTTAATGTACAAGCTTCGAGCTGAAATAGCATTCCAACACACTGGACTACCATGCCCTTCATCTCGTGGCTCCCGTCTTGGCGGACGCATGCGTCTACTCAACCGCCGCTTCCGCAATATAACTTAAACGCTCAAGGTAGGTGGACTACCACGCTCGAGGCGGAACGCGATTCATGAGACATTGGGTCGATCAAATGGCTTGAATCTGGAGGCACCGGAGCTTCTGCATGGTAGCCTCTTGTTTTTGAGATGGGAATCAGAGGAGATGCTGACGCGGGAGAGTCGGAAAGAAAAGACCCAGAGTCCGACAGTTTCACAGTCATAGGATTACTGATGCGTGTTGAACTTACTCAGACAAACAAAGAATTCAACGTCGATCTCGGGAGGACCTTTCATCGTTGACAGAAATTCATAGGGTACGTGGCTTGGGAAACCTGGAGGTGCTCTGCTTACGCGCTTCGCGGCGAGACCACCGAGAATTGTCATTGGTTCCTCTGCCCCTTGTTCGATCTGACGACGGATCTGGACGAGTTCCGGGGGGCGACATTTGAGTTTGGGTAGACAAATGAAAGGAATGGTGCTTTTGGGGAAGGGCTTGGTGCCAAACGTCATGATTACTATTTGCTCCAACCTTCAAACACCGACGACGCCTTGCCGCATGCAGCCAGACATGACAGATCAATGTCGATATTTGGACGTTGTTTCAACGCGCAGCCACTGCCACCGCAGACAGATTGGACGCCATACCGCCATTCCCGGCGATAGGCGAGGGAGACAAGAAGGATAAGCCTCGTCCTTCTCTCATGTACATGCTGCAAGCTTCAAGCAAGCGCCACTGGACCGTGCAGTTGTGGTTCACACAAGTCAGGCCTGCGCTAGAGGCGCGGTGGGACGTGGTACCGGAAGCCGGACATTGGCAGATTAAATGCTGACACCGCGACGCGGACGCGTGCCCAGGGACGGAGGAACGGGGCTTTTTGGGGCCGATTGTCTGGAGGAGACGACGGACCGAGGGGAAGGTGACACTGCAGCGTTGAAGAGAGTTTTGCTGGTTTCTGGAGCTATCGAGTTGGTGTTGACACTCGGGCCGCTTCTTGAGGAGAGGGAAGCGGTTGAATTTCTGATGAACTTGTCGTGAAGATGGTGTGCGACCTCAGGTGAGGTGTGCCTGGCTACTGATATTTTAGCTTCGAGTCATTTCAAGGTAAGGGGGTTCGGATTTTCATGGTCCATGGATGGAAGATCGATGGAAGAGGGGCTGTCCAGCTTGACAGAATGGGGGGAGGGGGGCTGCGGAATTGACAGCGGCAGCAGCAGGGGTTCGATCATGGGACATGGGTTGATCCTTTGAAAAGCAGAGTCAGACAACAGCGAGCATTTTCCCCTCTTGGGGAGGAGAGGGGAAAGGGCAAACAAACGAAGAGAAAGAAGTTTCGACTCGCAAATGTCTCGCCCGAACCCTCGGCCCCCCAATCATCTTTTTCGCAATCGATAATTCCGCGTGAATGTCTCACTCGTACGACAAATGCATGCTCCCAACCATGGCGCTAATGTTGATTGAATCCGTGATCGGCGGACAGGCGCTACCACTCTCAGGGCTACAAACGTCCTTCGGATGGTTGTGCCTGAATCATGCCAGCCTCCGGACGGCTTGGTGCAGATGGCGGTGGTGGTGTTGATGCATGGCAGCGCCGGCAACGTTTTTGTACGCGTGTTTGCGCATGTGTGTGTTTGCAATGTGTTTTCCATGCATTCAGCTCGGTTTGAGAATGGTCCAGAAGCATTGTCGAAATTGCAGAAGCACATGCAAGAGAAATGCAGAGCACGGATGGCAAACTGCAACGGCGTTTCCAGTCGCCAGCCGCTCAGACAATGGGATACGGAGGTGCGGCTTGAGGAAGAAGGGAAGGGAAGACGAAATGCAAATGCAATTGCAAATGCAGGAAGACGTGAGGTGCAGGTGGGCAAACGCTAAGGTTCGGCCCAGGGCCCCTGC